TTCAGATGATGTATAAATCTCAATTTCGAAAAATTGACCCTTATGACTGGTTTTGTGGTCCAGGGTCACATATCCTACAACTTGTGGTGAGAAGCAGCAGCAGTCATCCAAAAGTGAGCAGAGAAAAATGTACTCCTCTCAGAAAACGTACAAATAAAGATCACTTTAGATGTTTAATTACTATTTGAAGCATTGGGATCACTAGAAGAGGGCTTAATGAATTCATTTTTGTGAAAACCTCAAATTCGACCAAAACTGAAATTTTTCACTTCTTTTGCCTGTGGCTCAGTATTAGACCGGGCGCATTCCGACTCATTTTGCCAGCACGGGTCACATTTGTCTATATAAGTTGCTGACATATTATGACAAAAACAATAATTTTTTGTAAGAGATAATGTGACTGTACATTTTCCCTCATTAAGTCATCCATATACTTTACATCATAAATCATGTAATGTGTAATGTACAGTGAGCTGGTCATTATTGGCCAAAAAAAAAAAACAGGGCAATCAGGTCATGTTTATTTTGTGGTAATGACCGTCTGCCTGTACATTATACTACTAATTATGACTATTTACCAGATAAGTAAAAAAAAAAAAACATACTGGAATAACAGAAAAATTGGAAATATTGATTTGAGTTTATATTATTATTATTTGTTGTTGTTATGAAGAAAGACATAACAGAGTGATACAAGAAGCCTAATATAAGCACATATAGGATAATCAAAAATATTTGACCATAAAAATAAACTAAGTACCAACTCAAGTTTTAAATGACCAAATCAAGTATTCCTGAGAGCTATATAATAAAATTTCATAATATGTCTGCTTATAATTGTACTATAATTAATTTGATAGTTCAATGGTGGTTATTCTACCTCTAATTATGCAGCTTTTATATAATTAATGGCATTTAATGAAGAATTATAATTGGTCCACTCTGTCACACAAACAACAGTAAAACAATTTCATAAGAGGTTCAAGGAGCTGATGGCACTGAAGGGTAAACTTACACAAAACTAGACTACCCGCCAAAAAAGTTGCTACTACACCTCCAACTGTGCTGCCTGCCTTCTCATTCATTGAAGTGTTCTCTTGTTGCAAGTCCCTTTGCTACAACTACTGATCCCTGCCAAACCGCAAGGTTAAGACAACAGCAATGGAGAATGCAGATGTTATTAGTTCCTGGATTGGTCTTTGGATGGTGGAGTTGAAAACCCAACACACATACACACAATTTGTACGAAAAATGAAATATGATGGTAAATTAAACAAACAACAGCTGGCAATAGGCTGAGTGGTAATTTTGGTCATATTTGATCAAATATTGAAACAATGGAATGTGAAGAACCCTGGAAATAGTCTCCATAAGTGGATCTTTATCCCATGAGCTTCCACAATATGTTCTGGAGCTCAGGGGATTGTGCTATACTTCATGATGGAGATTCTCCTTGAAATAGCAATATAACGCAACATGAGCAGCCATCATGTCCTGCAAAGAGACTAACTAGTGTGTCAAAGATAAAAGACAACTTGGAGGTAATGACCCATGACCAAAACCATGATACATAAATGTCTCCAAAGCACACTGCCTGAGGTCTGATTAAAGCCCTGTGCACATTAAAGACGATAACTTTAACTATGAAGTTTTAAAAATCGTTCTAATTCTATGAGAGCAGGGATAACCACATTACCCAGCTTTATCAGTAATGACACAGAGGAACATTATCATTGGAATCACTTTTACAAGACGTTTTTTTCCCAGCTGATAAAACAACTGACAGCCAATCAAAAGCATTTAAAGCAGCAGATGACATGTGGGCTTATAATAAACAGAACATTATTATTCCGTTGGTGTGGAAGCTGAAATACAGTATAGTAATTGTTATATCTCTATAATGTTTTAATATTTAATGAAGGCAGAAAATGGAGTAGTCTGCAAATGCATAGAAAGCAAGTAAGCAAGCAAGCCAGAGATCATGAAAGAGAATGAAAGAAGGACGTCTGAGCTCTATACTCGCGTGCCACCCCACCACTGTGGGATGAGTGGATGAGCTTGAATTGCACTTGGCTGACCCCTACCTACTGTATTCATCCCAACATGCACTGCTGTTGAACGGCTGTTCAGAAGGAACATTACTGTTCTTCTTGAGCCTGGAAAATAAAATGTAATCCAGAAAAAAACATTAAGCAAGTTTAATCCAGGCACTACTTTGTATAGTACATGTTCAAATAATTATTTTTCCACCCATATTAATTGTTTACTGTATTTACACTGCTTGAGCAAGTTCTGCGTAGCAAGGTGCAAGTACAGTTTCAGTACTGAACATATTTTGACTGAACTCAGCAGAATACTAATTAAAATACACTATTAACATTTTTGTCATTTGCAGTATACAGTATAGGCTTTTATTAAGCAACATAAATAACTACTCCACTGTTTGAGAAAAATGTCTGTCAGGCTTGATGTACATGCTGCAAGCTGTACGCAGCTACAGTTTAGGTTTGTAGATTACACTCCTTGTAGATTAATCAAGATCTCTGATATCAAGATATCAGACATCATTTTATTTTCTGTATAGAACCATAACTCTGTTATGCAGCATGAACGCTTCCAGACTGAAAGCACAAAGTGAACCTGCAGTTATGCTCTGCTTACGTGCTGCTTATGCATGCAATGTGAAACAGACCTAATTTGTCAGGCCAGTAATGAAATGTTGTATTACTGCAATGTTGTGATGTCAAAGGAGAAAGTACGAGTTGGCTAGCACGTATTCAGTGAGTTCTGGAAAGTAATGCAATGCAGAGGGTTCTCGGATGTGTAAAATTGCTGGAGTATTTTAACCTTTAAATGGTCCAGCAAAATTTGAAAACAGAGCCCTGGGCAATATCTGGATCATTTCAAGATGTCTATATATCTCTCTACACAGCAGCATTATTGGATATTTTTCTTACTTAAAACAGACTTCATCTTTAATCCTTCTCATTCCTGTAAGTAACTTCTAACAGCCAAGTCAAAATGTGTTTCACTTCTCTAAATGTGTAAGTTTATAGATCTATAGTCTATACTCACCTCGTATTTCTCATGTAACAGTTCAGTTGAATTATTAGGCTAATACTTTAGAAATCACAAGACATATCAGACAACACAGTTGCACTCCATTGATAAATTCAGCTAACTAAACTTGTCTTAAATGTAATAATCACTATGCACCACCAAAAATCTGATGACAGAAGAAAAGTGGCAAACGGCTAAATTTCATGGCCTGTTTTTTGACTAATGGATTAACCATACACCCCTGACATTTAAAATATAATGGCATGTTCTTCCGCTCTACCATTGTCTTGAGGTGGGTTGACTGACACACATTTGGAGTAGAGGAGCAAGCAAGAAGTCTGGGGAAAGAATCTTTACTCAGGTAGCATGTCACATTTCCGTGACCTCTACTGCCAGAACAATTCCAGGGTGCCTCCTGCCTCTCCATCCGCTTCCTTCATGTGTCTTTCCCATGCTCGGCGCGAGGACAGTGAAGGAAATCTACATGGAGACCTTGTAGACAAAGCTTGAAGACCCAGAAAGTCATGGGGGGAGCAGTATTTCCTCTGTTTGGATCAGAGTAAGAGCTGCTGTTTGTTTGGACAGCAGAAGGAAGACCTGTATCTGTAGTGTACAACTGCTATGTCACGATGAACAATGGCATCCATCTTTTACTATCCATCTTGTTTATAAGGAGATGCAGCCAGAAGTCCAAGCAGTCAACAATATACTTTCTCTTATAAACACATATTCTCTTGTCAAACTCGAGAACAGCACTGGACCTGGAGATGTGCCCATACTACCCATTTACAATAAACTGTTTTTGATGTTATCAAACATCAACACACCTGATATTTCGAACACAATGTGGAATAGGAATAACTAGTAATTAGTGACTAGTGAGTTTGAATAACTAACTAGTCCGAGGATGGAGGAATGCAAGAAGTGCCCACTGCCCTACTGTTCTTCCATCATAACCTGTAGTGATTGGGGGGTCCCCGGAATGATTGGGGACCCCAGAAAAATTAGCAAAAGCCAGTAAAAGGATTTAAGCCCCAGCAGGGATAGATCACCTCCTGCTTTCCAAGTGAGCATTTCATTTAGTGCCAGAATACAGAGTGCTGATGACTGGGTCTCAAAACCCAGTGAGCTGCATACCTAGACATCATTTGGGACACCAAAATGGGTTCTTACAATCCATTTGGCACATATGATCCCCAAAATGCTGCACCAAACAATCTGTGTATAGGTATAGGCAGCTCATTTGGTTTTGAGAACATAGCAAATGACATCAAAGCAGATTACCTTGTTTTAAAGACTGAGAGAAAAATTATTACATTTTAATATTTCTACAAAATGACCGTCTATAAAATCACGTCAGTAAATTCAATGCCTTCAGAAAAGTTTTGTACTTTTACTAGTACAAAAACGCTGTAAAAAGTCATCACTGTGTCAAAAGACATCATATTTGTTCCCATCCAATTAATTTGTCACAATAATAGTGATTTCTTCCATGCGTTTTCAGAGTTTCTCAATTCTCTTCTTCAGCAATTAAAGTCGAAATAAAAAGTGAAATTTAAAAAGTGCAGTGAACTCATGACTGAAGGTCAGTGACTTTCAAGTTAAAGACTACCGAATATATTTTAATGAAGAAACTTCTCATGTTGCAATATAGGCTATTTTCTAAAATGAAAATAGCCTGACATCAGAACAACAATTAAACGGTTAACCATTAATTCAATGGCATCGTATAAGTGATGTACTTTTATTCTATAGCACAACACTATTTTTGTCATCATTACATCCACATTTGTTTGTATCCATTTACATGCAGATCAGTTAATGCCCATTAAGTTGACAACAAATGAACTACAAACCGCATCTGTACAACAGCAGCCCATTGAAGATCGCGTGCCACTTCACTCGCGTGCGCAGTAAAATGACAAAAAGCGCGAACTTACCACTTGAGAAGAAATTAAGAAGCAGCTGGAAAGTGAAGAAGCCTTTGACTGAGGTTTGAACGGGAGTCATTTCGTCCGTTAAAATAACGTTCCGACGGATATTCCGTACAATCAGCTGTCACTTTATATTTGGATGTGGCTGTAATAGTCCAGGTAGGCTACTGTGATTTCTCTTGGTGTACGGTTAAATCTTGACAGTTCCCGTTGATATGACAGAGATTGTTCTTTCTAGAGTGAAAACACTTCTTGCTGTCTCTCAGTGAATGTAAATGTGTCGCATGGTCCTGCGGTACACGAACGGAGCAGCTCCAAACTACTCCCGAGGGCAGGTGCGACGTTTGCTCTTCCTTCCTAAAACTGAGTGAATGAAATTTCAAAAACTAGACTCTATATAGAAAAGAAGGTTTAACGATAGTATAACAATGATAACTAATGCCAACCGACTGATAAACCACCCCACTGCCTTTAGCTTTTCTGCCGGGGTTTCCCTCTCGAAGGCTTTATATGAGTGAAGCGAGGACGGAAGGACGCAACGTAACCATAGTAACCCTGCAGCGGTACTCCACCGCACTTTCCTGCTTTAACTTACTATATTGACCCTACAGATATCGATTAAGATATTTTGTCTTGTAATAATCTGATTAAGTTTTTTTTTTTTTTTTTTTGCTATTTTCTGTCTGATTACATTAAAGATTTATTTTATCTCAGACACATATCCCACCCAAATGCCTCTATGAATGTGAAGACGCTTCACAAAGTAGGCTATTTCATCATTGTTTTGAACCTAAAATCTATCAAACCCCGGCAGTCCCTAAAATATCTAGGTGCAAAGGTAAACAGGCATTGTCTGATAACATATCAGTCAAAATACCTTGGAAAAATATTTACAGGGTTTATTTTTAACTTCAGCAACAGGATGCAGCTAATTTTATATCAAAGTAAATAATCATGGGGCTTCTTTTCACCTTCCAACACCCCCATGGTGTGTGGATGCACCACCGACGGTTTGTCTTTTTGATGCTACAAATGGGGACACGCTCCCTGCAACGTAGGGCAAGGCATTGTCCATTGATGTCCTTCCATTTATATCATTTCAAATGCACAGGATGTTAAACCTGTTAAACAGAAATTAAACAGTACAGTTTAATACAGTTCGTCACTGATGAGGTATAAGGTTAAAGAGACATGAGGTTTTCTTCCTGTAGTATTGATTGGATGATGATGTGATTAATGTGATAATGTAAGGGCCACTGATAACAGTTTACCAGTTTATTTACTTCTGTGACTCAAAGAAACTAAGGTAGCTGCTAATGTTAAGGATTTAGTTATTCCAACCAACATTTGATGAAGTGGAATGTCACTTATATTTATCTTACTTATATCAATTATATTTTATTCTGCAGTGTTATAAAAATGTGTATTATTTTTTAAAATAACTTCATGACTCATCCATGTTCATGACATTTTTTACTACTTTTTAGTAAAATTATAATTATTAAACAATTTAAAAAATGTAATACCTCTATTATTATTTATTATTATTGTTATTTTTTTAAATAAATAATAATAATAATAATAATAATAATAAACAATTATATTATTATTATTATTTGTTTATGATTTTATAATACGTTTTTTTTTTTAATCTACATATATATAATATATATAAGTATATATAAATATAAGTTTC